CTGGAGTTCTGCCGTTCTCATTGATCGGTAAACTTGGTCTTGGCTGGCGGTTCTTGCTGATCTTCTGGGGGAGGGGCCTGTTGCCGTGGTTCCCAAATGTCTTTGCCAGAGGCGGAATTGCCCCGCCCTTGCCGGGGCTGGGCTAAGTAATCTGCTCGGTTTTGCTCTCGGGAGCTTTTGTTCCCTGCAAGCTTTCCCTACAGCTTTGGAGGACGAGAGTGAGAATGGCGGCCTCCCAGTCTCCTCCCCGGAGGAGCCGAGAACTCGGGGCCCCACTCCTTAGTGAGCCCCCAGAGAAAAGCAGTCAGTCACTCCCGTCTCCCCGGTCTCTGGCTGCACTCCATGCTCACCCGGCCTGTGACCGTGCATTTCTATCACTGGCACCCGACCCCATGTGGAGTCTCCAAACCCAGCAGATCCCTGCGGTGCACTTCCACGCCACTTCTCCCCAGGGGAGGAAGGGGAGTCTCCCCAGATCTGCCGCTTGTTGGGTCCCTGCTGGAAGAGCAGTGGCCTGACTGTGCCTCGGATCACGGTTTATGGCAACCCCGAGCTGAGAGCCTGCTCCTCGGCTCCCTCTCTGCAGCCGGCTTCCCCACTCCGATACCTGGGAGCTCTGCCGCACTCAGGCACCCCCAGTCTTTCTTTGACCCCCAGGGTCCTGAGACCACACTGTCCTACAAGGGTTCCACCCCTTGCTTAGCCACTGGAGCAACATCCCTCAGCAGAGCTGACTTCTAAAAGTTCTGATTTTGTGCTCCGCTGCTCTATCACTTGCCAGAAGCGGCTGACAGAGGCCCCCTCCCCGCCGTCTATCCTCCTGAATATCACCTCGGATTCACTTCTCCGCACGTCCTACCTTCCAGAAAGTGATCGCTTTTCTGTTCAGAGAGTTGCAGCTATTCTTTTCTTCGATCTCCTGTTGAGTTTGTAGATGTTCAGAATGGTTTGATCCCTATCCAGCTGAATTCCTGGGACCAGACAAAATCCAGGTCTCCTACTCCTCCACCATCTTGCTTCTCCCTTCTGTTATCCTTAGTTTTGTAATTATTCAAGTAGTCGAGCTAAAAGTTTATTTGCATCTTTGCACTTGTTCCTTGGATACGGTTGAAGGAATGCTATATTCCACAAGCATAGAGAAGTGTGTCCGAAGCCCTTACAGTACATTCCCCTTGTTTGGGGGGCTCGATCTTCTGTTGGTGCGCAGGAGGGGCACCCAGCCTGCCATTCTGGGTTCTTGCCCCTCCTCAGCTATTGGCCCAAGTTCTGTCCACATCTCTCACACAGGGAGTGGGGGGCAGGCAGGGTGGTGGGCCGGGAGGAGTGGCAGAATAGAGATTACTTGGGAGGAATAATGTTCTTTGCAGAAGAATTATTATCTTAATTTTTCTGTTAAACCAAAATCCCATTATTTTTCTTTTCACTTTTCTCCTTAGGCTAAATGTTTAGAAAGTGAGAAGCATGGAGTTCTCAACAAAATCACAGAAGGCAATATTCGCTTGGGAAGGTTAAAAGAAAAAATCAAGGTAAGTGGCCATTAGCCTCAGAGGTGCCGTTTTCAAATGGAAACAGCGCCTTACTGGGGTCAGACTTCCATGTTTAAAAAAATGATTCATGTTGCATGTGTGTATCACACTAATCATCCACAGGGTAAAGCAGTATTGCTTATAGCACCAATCCACTCATTAAATAAACCGGCTTATCTGCATAATAAGATACCATGCAGCTGTTTAAAAGAAAAAAAATTGCGATGGAAAAATCTCCAGACTCTATCCTGAAGTTAGCCCAACATTCGTTGGTTCAGTTAGGGAACAGGGTTGACCCGCTCCTCTCTAGCTTAATCCTAACTGCACCCTCCAGTTTCTCTGCCCAAGGAAACGATTGTCAGAGTACCAACTCTCCTCCCCTAGGCCACCTCCCTCACCTGACCTCTCATCCCCCCGCCATCTGTATTCTGACTACTGGCATCCACCGCCTTACCAGCCAGACTGACTTCTCTGGAGCAGGAGCAGGGGTGCGGGTGGGCTAGAGGCCTGTGTGGGAGGCAGGGAACCTGTGGGTTTTGAAAGGGAAGGTCCGTGAGGGCATGTAGCTCTAGCGTGGGGAATAAGATCTAGGACCTCTGCTGGATGATGATGAAAAGAGCCTGACACATGGAGAAATAGATTGATGACATTTACTATGTTGGGAAATTAACAAACTAAGACCAACGAAACATTGACTGGCTCTGTGTACATAAGTGTGGTACTGGGTGAACAGCAAGCAGGTGTATGTATGTATGTATGTAAATATGTTATGCCTTTGTTTTGTTTTAGGGAACATAAGTCCTAAATTGTTTATTTTTTAAAAGTTAAATAAAATTTAACTTCTAATTGCTAAGAATTAGCAATTAACCTAATGCAAAGAATAGACTTTTTTCCTCCCAATGTTTCATGAATATTGCCTAAATAACACAAATATCAAGTTTTTGGAAGCCACACAGCCTATTCATCATGAATTTTCAAGTGGTACAGACTGAGATGCTCCCTGAGGGGCTTTCTGGTTTCCAGTAGGGTCTGCCACATGCAACGTCCCTGAGCTACCCTTACCCTGTTCTGGATTCTGCCTGGGTCTGGGCCTTCCCCAGGGAAGATCACCACCATTTAACTAAATTCAGAGAAGACTAGCATACCCTCCAGCACATCACTGTTCTCATTTATAGTGGGCAGTGGCCTTTGAAGTGAGGGCTGTTCCCACCACAGGTCCAGTGAACTCATTCCTTCTGTGGGGCAGAGCAGCTCCACTCCTGTTCCCAAATGTGGGCTTTTAGGCATGATGCTATTTGAAGAAAGGGTTGCTTTGCTAAAAGGAAAGTTGAAAATGCTGCATTCGTCCTCCACCCAGAACTCAGGGCAGCTGATCCTGTGGCTTCAGGTGGTAGGAATGATTTAATTGAACCAGATAGCTCTTGGAGTTGTATTGACTTCTAAAATGTCATCAGAGATTCCTAGCAGACATAGTAGTTTTCTGGGAATTTTATTTCTGATAGTTTTAAAGTCAGTGAGGATCTGGTAAGTTTAATCTTCAAGTACACTTAGTTATAATCTAACTAGGTAGGTAAAGAAAAAGAAATCCATATCTAGATAGGGGTGCCTGGGTGGCTTAGTCAGTTGAGTGTCCAACTCTTGGTTTCAGCTCAGGTTGTGATCTTGGGGTCATGGGATCAAGCCCTGCATCAGGCTCCTCGCTCGGCGCAGAGTCTGCTTGTCCCTCTCCCTCTGCTCCCCCCAGCTTTCTCTCTCTCTCTCTCTCAAATAAATAAATAAATAAAATCTTAAAAAAAAAAAAAAAAGATAAAGAAAACGTTGGACACCCAGGCAAAAGGCCAAGACATAGGAAAAAGAAAACCATGTTGGCATCACACTTCTCCACAGCAATACTGAATGCCAGAGAGCAGTGCAATGACTTCTATAAATATTCGATGAAACAGAGTGTGAGCCAAGGATATCTCCCTCCAACCAAGCTACTCTTCAGACAGTTTTGACCATGTAAAAACTCCGGGCACAGTTTTTCCATAAATCTCACCTGAAGATTAATCAACTTGAGTTCAGCCAATCAAGAAACAATTGGGCAAATTTCAGAAAAGTAGTGAGCAAAGGATATATTTAATTGGGAACTAAGACTTCAGTGAGGCAGGGATAAGGCTGATGGAATAAAATGTAAATGATGTTTTTTGACAATGTGGAATTAATACAACCAAGGAAAAACTGATAGGTCAACAAGGTAGGAAAGTAGAAAGTAGAACAAACTAGCTGATTGCTTCTTAAGTCATAACTAAGAGTTCCAAGGATATCATTTCAAGCTGAAAAATCAAGTAGGAGGAGCTTAAACATATTTAAGTAGGGCCAGAAAAGGTTGTTGTGAGCTAACATTATGTTACTTTTAATAAATGAGAGGACTAAGGACATGTAATATAAAGGCATGAGAATAAAAATCACCACAAGAATCAAGAGAGATCCATTCCTAAATAGTAGAATTACAACAGTGAAAAGAACAGAGAAAATGGACTACATTAAGTCTTTAAAAATGTATGAAGATAAAACAAAGTAACAAAATTGAGACCAAACAAATATAAATGAACTTAATTCACCCATTAAAAGAAAACAGATTGATAATGAAGCAAATGGTATTCCATGATAGAGCCAAGAGACAGTCTGAAACAAAGTGCATTAGAAAGCTGAAGAGAAAAAGGATGAGTAAAGATAATCAGATTTATGCAAACAAAAAGAAAGCAAATTTGCAATCTTTACATGTGCCAAGATAAAGTTCAGGCCAAAAGCACTAAATGAAACAAAAAAAAGGAGGAGCCTTCATGTTAAAGACTGAAATCAATAGTATATGGTAGCTACAAATATCTGTGCACTAAATAAACACAGCAAATCTATAAACTATAGGATATACAAAGGGAAATGGAAACATGGTAATAATAGAAACTTTAATCTTCTCTTGGTCCAAGACAGATCAAGAAATTAAACAAAAGTAACTAAGATTATAGAAGATTTAAGGTAATCTATAAGGTTTATTTATGTGTGCTTATATATATATATATGTGTGTGTGTGTTTATATATATAACGATTGATTGTAGATTGGCTCAAAAAATAATCAACCCCTAGAGTAGAAATAAGGCACATTTGTTGACCAAAAAGATGAAAACCAGAAATTAATAAACAACCAGAAAGCAAAAGAAATATTCTTTTACCTGGAAATGTAAAAACCATGAGGTAAACCAATTCTTGGGTCAGAGGGAATGTATAAACTGTCAGTTTCTAAATGGAATTGATACACCAGTTAGAATGGCTAAAATTAACAAGACAGGAAACAGCAAATGTTGTTAAGGATGTGGAGAAAGGGGAACCCTCACACTGTTGGTGGGAATGCAAAGTGGTGCAGCCGCTCTGGAAAACAGTATGGAGGTTCCTTAAGACATTAAAAATAGAACGACCTTGTGACCCAATTGCACTACTAGGTTTTTACCCCAAAGATACAGATGTAGTGAAAAGAAGGGGTACATGCACCCCAGTGTTCATAGAAGCAATGTCCGTAATAACCAAACTATGGAAGGAGATGAGATGCCCTTCAACAGATGAATGGATAAAGAAGATGTGGTTCTTATATACAGTGGAATATTACTCAGCTGTTAGAAAGGATGAATACCTACCATTTTCATCGACATGGATGGAACTGGAGGGGATTACGCTAAGTGAAATAAGTCAAGCAGAGAAAGACAATTATCATATGGTTTCATTCATATGTGGAACATAAGGAATAGCACAAAGGGCCACAGGGGAAGGGAGGGAAAACTGAATGGGGAGAAATCAGAGAGGGAGACAAACCATGAGAGACTCTGGACTAATAAACAGAATTGAATCTCTGTCAAGTACAAATTAGAATCTGTATAACACTAGTTTTAGAAATGCTCAGAGCAGGGCGCCTGGGTGGCTCAATCGTTAAGCGTCTGCCTTCAGCTCAGGTCATGATCCCAGGGTCCTGGGATCAAGTCCCGCATCGGGCTCCCTGCTCAGCGGGAAGCCTGCTCCTTCCTCTCCCATTCCCCCTGCTTGTGTTCCTGCTCTTGCTATCTGTCTGTCAAATAAATAAATAAAATCTTTAAAAAAAAAAAAAAAAGCTCAGAGGGAAGTCATACCTTAAATGCTATCCAGTAAAAATGTAGAAGGAAGATAAATGAATCAAGCTTTTATCTCTGTCATCTGTTTACCAATAGAGTGTGACAGACCTTGCCAGGTTGGTCTGTTTTTATTTGTAGCATATAAAAAATTAGGCATGATACAAATTAGAAATTTGGTTTTATTATACTTGATATTCTTTTTTTTACTTTCTATGACTTTTATGATCCAGACTTGCCCTCCCAGATCAGACTTCTGCAAGGTTTACTCATCATCTCAGTGGGCTCTGATAGCCCAAATGGGGAGGGTACGCATCCGGGAAGCCATCCCCTGGGCCGCAGGCAGCATCCCCTCGCTCACACAGGGCCTCCTCCTCCCCCAGGGGTACAAGAAGCAGGCGGCACTGAAAGTGGATGACATTAGTCACCGCCTGACAGAGCAGCAGGAAGACTTCGCTAGCAAGACAGCTCAGTACCAGCAAGAGATGAGGCACCTCCATCGGGTGCTGCAGGACAAGCAGGATATCCTGGACCAGGCACTGCAGCAGAAAAGGTAGGGCCACCCCAGCCCCATAGAGTATGTTAATTTTGAATGTTTGCTAGAATTTTCCAGCAAAACCCTCTGGACCCGTTCTGTTTATTTTTTACATTTAAGTTTTATCTGAATGTAATATTGGTCTTAATTCTTATTTGCTCATTTTCTTTTTAAAATTTTCCCCCAGCAATTGACATATAGGATTGTGTAAGTTGAAGGTGTATAATGTGATGATTTGATACATGAATATCTTGTGAAATGGTTGCCACCACAAGGTTAGTTAACACCTCTCTCATCTTACCCAGTTCCCATTTTGTTGTGGTGCTGGTGACGGTGCAGCCGTTAGGGTGGGAACATTGAAGATCCGCTCCCTTAGCAACTTTCAAGTATACAACAGTGGTGTTAACACTCACCATGCTGTGCTCCTCCTTTCCCTTAATCCCCCCTGTAGAACTCCCATTGTTTGAATATTGGACTTCTTAAATCAACCCGGGCCTCTAATTGTCCTTCCCTCTTTTCTCCTCTCGTTGATGCTTTTGTTTTATTCCATTTTCTTGGGAGACTTTTTATTTTTGATTAAATGTCTTATTTCTGCTTTTTCTTTTTTTCATTTCTGAGGATTTTAAAATCTCTGATCATTCCCTTCTTGTAAGATCATAGTCATAAGATGATGGGTGCATTATGTTTTCTATGCATGTAAGTACTAAATCAGTTACACTTTACCCTTTAAATATAGGCTAGAGGAAGTGTTGCCAGTGTATTAAAAACATTGGGGATGTCGCATGCTCCATGAAGGTGAACTTGGTGGTCCTTCGTACTTAACTCTGCCTTTTCATAATGGCTGTGCTTTGACAGACTGGAATGTAAACTGATGCATGCAGAAGAATCGTAATACACTTATGGGATTTCTTCAGGTTATAGAAGGATCCATATATTTGATGTCATGCCCAATGCAGATATCTGTTTTCCATCAGCCAGATGCTTTTTTTTTTTTTTTAAGATTTTATTTATTTATTTGTCAGAGACAGAGCATGAGCAGGGGGAGTGGCAGGCAGAGAGAGAAGCAGGCTCCCCGCTGAGCAAGGAGCCCGATGCCCAGGACCCTGGGATCATGACTTGAGCCGAAGGCAGCTGCTTAACTGAGCCACCCAGGCTCCCCAGCCAGATGCTTCTTAAATGCAAGGCAGGATTAAGTCTTATCTATCATGGTTATCATGGTTTCTGTAGTCACAGAAGTTCTTACCACCATAAACAGCTACTATGTAAAAAGTTGGGCTAATACCAAATTTCTTGCCAGATAGGAGGTTTAGAATCACAATAAAATGGCATTTTGTTTTTCACTTTCTCCCTTATTCCACTATCTGTCCTTAAATCGTTTGAAAGTTATGCATACTATTTCTATACTTTCAGTGGTTACCCTTAAAATTTTACAATGAATATTTAACATTAAAAAATCTAAATTTAGGGACGCCTGGGTAGCCCAGTTGGTTAGGCCACCGACTCTTGATTTCAGCTCAGGTTTCGATCTCAGGGTTGTGAGTTCAAGCCCTACGTTGGGCTACAAAAAAAAAAAAAATCTGAATTTAATCAACATGTCTACATTTCTCCCCCCCAGTGCAAGATCTAATGCTCTTATCTAATTCTTTTCCCCCTCAGTTTATATGATGTCGTCTAGTGTCATTAGGTAGATAAAAGTGAAGAACAAAGACCTATTTCATATCATTATCTTTAGCCCCCCCAAATTAAATGTTACTAGTTTCTATATAGTTCTTTATTTTGATTTACCCACAGGTACCAATTTCTTTACTTACTGATTATTATAAACAAGACAACAGGCCCAAAATGGGCCTCACATATGCTAGCCCCACATCACCAAACCAAGACTTGACTTAATTACAGTTTTGGCTCCTCCAGAAAGGGAATCTTAAACTAGTTAGTCAAGAATTGTGTGGTCAATGATACTTAGGTCATATGCCTGGGAGACCCTTTGCCATCCCCTAAGGGAAAGTAACTTTGCAATAACCAACCCACTTTTGCTGAATATATCTTCCTTATTCCTGCTTCCTTCTGCCTATAAAAGTTTTTCATTTTGTACAGCTCCTCGGAGCTCGTTTCTCTCTGCTAGATGGGATGCTGCCCAATTCGAGTTTTGCTCAAATAAACTCTTAAAATTTTCTTATTTCCTCAGTTTATCTTTTAACATATCCTCTCTTACATCTCAGACCTTATTTCTCAAATTAGTTTCCTTCTTCCTAAAATATATTATTTAGAAGTCTCTTTAATAAGAGTCTGTTGGGAGTAAGCTTTCTGTTTATCTGGAAATGTCTGCATTTTTCCTTGATCCTTGTAAGATAATTTTTGCTGGCTACAGTATTTTACTTTGACAGTCTTCTTCTCTCAGCATATTCTACTATCTTCTCTGTTTGAGAAGTCTGTTTTGACAAGTCAAAAGACAAGTCTCTGACAAGCCTTTTGTCATTTTTTTTTTTTAAAGATTTTATTTATTTATTTGACAGAGAGAGAGATAGCGAGAGCAGGAACACAAGCAGGGGGAGTGGGAGAGGGAGAAGCAGGCTTCCCGCCGAGCAGGGAGCCCCATGTGGTGCTCGATCCCAGGACCCTGGGATCATGACCTGAGCCGAAAGCAGACGCTTAACGACTGAGCCACCCAGGCGCCCCCCTTTTGTCATTTTTTAAAATAACTGACACAGGGGTGCCTGGGTGGCTCAGTTGGTTAAGTGTCCCACTCTTGATTTCAGCTCAGGTCATGATCTCAGGGTCATGAGTCTGAGCCCTGCATCGGGCTCTGTGCTCAGTGAAGAGTCTGCTAGAGATTCTCTCTCCCTCTTCCACTTGTGTGCTGTCTCTCTAAAATAAATAAATTAAATCTTAAAAAAAAAAAAAAATCTCTGTCTCTTGTATTCTGCAGTTTAATTGGTGTGTGATTAACTGTACTTATCTACTTGGTGTAAGTTATTCTCTATATCTGTGATCTTGTGTCTTTCATTAGTCTAGAAAATTCTCATCTCTTAAAATAAGCCATTATCTCTTAAAATAAATTATTTCCCCTTATTCTTTCTAAGCTCCTTCTGGAGCTCAGATTAAATGTATGTTAGACTTTCCATGTGCCTTTTAAATTTTCCATCTTTTTTCTGGTCCACATTCTGGGTAATTTCTTCTGCTCAGTATTCCTGTTTACTAATTCTGTCTTCAGCTCTGTTCAATGTACTGTTTAACCCAGCCACTGAGTTTTTTATATCAATAACAGTGTATTTCATTTTCAGTTCTATTTGGTTCTTTTGAAAATCTGCCTAGTCGTTTTTAAAATAAATTCTTGGTCTTTGTTTATTTTAAATACATCTTTTATTTCTTTTAACATTTCATTTGTAGTTATTTTTTCAATATCTGAAATTTGGGGGAGTTTAAATTTTTTTTTTGACTCTTGCTCTGTGTGACTTCTTTCTACATACAGTAACTTTTTAACTATGAATGCATATATGGTTGGATTTAATCTGTAGAATCCTGAGGTTCTGGATTAAGGATGTTTTTCTCCAGAGAAGATTTGCATTTGCTTCTCTCTGGTGCAAGAGAATATTTCCAACCTGGAGCCACTTATTCATTATTAATTTTAAAAATACACTATAGTAATGTTTTTTTAAAAACATACAAAAAGACTTTTAAAAGTCTTTTAAAAATGCTTTTATTACATTTGTTATATATTATGTATTATTTAAAAATGCTATTATTACATTTATAGTGTATAACTCCTTAATATCCGGTATTTTTCTGCACTACATTCAGAGTGATTTCTTCTGCTCTATATTACAGTTTGCTAATTCTCTCTTCAGTTGTGTCCAGTGTACTATTTAACCCATCCATTGAGCTTTTCCCCTGATTGTCTCTAAAATGGCTGTTCACTCCACACAGGTGCTGGGGATGCCCAATCATGGGGAACAATGTAAATTCAAACTCCAGATCCATTTGAGAACAAGCTGGTGGCTACAGCCCCCTAGGAGACACTTAGCCTCTCAGAGCAGGTTTCTTTTGAAGATCAGCAGGTTTTCTACCCAGCCTTGCTTTCTTTAAGGGCCCTTCATGTGCCTCCACTTACCTGCCCAATTGTGGAACACGCAGTTAGTTCAGAGTGTTTCTGGGAAGAAGGGGGAGAAACGTGGATATGAGTGAGCCCTGGGGTTTTCTGTCCCACCCAGTTTGCATGGGCCCAACACCTAGTCTCCATTCTACAAAAATGTGGGTTTCTGGCACGGACTTTTCTCCTCAAAGCAATAAGCAACACTCTGTTCCCTTCCTGTGTGCTTTCAGTTTAGTCTTTATTTCTTTCTGCCCTTAGAGATTTCCTATTCTTGTTTTGAGTTTGGCTATGCATAGCTCATGATTGCTGTAATTTATCAAACATCTAGGTGTTTTGTGCCAGAAAAGAGAAATTTGGAGATTTTTTTAAGTACAGTTTAATTAAATAGCACCCAACATCCAGTGAGCATTAGGGGGGCTTGGAAGGAAGCAACAGTTCACAAGAGAAGTGACACTGGACAAGTGGGCATGTCGCTGGCCTCCCTGAATCTCATTGTCCTCCTTCTTAAACAGCAGTGCTCAGCCCACTTGGTAGTCCAGTTTCTAGTATCTTCCATAACCACCTGGCCATGTCTGTGAAGGAGCCAGCCTCCCCACCATGCCCTCCTGCATGAGGCCTGCTCTTCCCCCCAGGCTGAGGCTGGTCTTTCTGTCCCCCTCACTCTCCCATGGGTTCCACCATCCTGTAAGGTGGTAGCTGGTACCCTGGTCTGTTCCCCCAGCAGACCACGGCCCTGTGAGGACATGGATACCTTGTCGGCCCAGTTTCCTCAGCACTCCACATGGTACCCGTCACAGAGTCCTGGGTACCCTTTCCTTTACTCGTACATCTTGGTTCTCTCTGGGTGCTCACTCCCAGCATGTGGTCTATCTAGGCCAGTCTTTTCTGCGTCCTCGGTTATGAGCCCCATTCCGCACAGTCCCCTCCTCACCCCCAGACTAACCCCATATGTCCGGGCCCCGCATTGGCTGCGCAGATGGGTGTTATGAGAGGTGCCTGATGTTGGCCAGGTCACAGCGGGGGCAGGTAGAGGGGACCTGGAGAGGCTTGCAGGGTTCATGCTGTGTGGGCGCTCACAGCGGGGCCGTTGTGCTGTATGTAGGTCAGCCACTGCAGGGACTGTATTTTATTCTTATACATGTTAATTCTTTAGAGAACAAAGGTCCAAAATAAAGGAAAAGGCAAAACTCAGTATTTTTTTCTGTTTCTAGGGCACCTCAGCATTTCATTCAACCCTGGGAGCCTTTGCCTCAGAACCCAAGCACCATGGGATCTGTTCTCTGACATTAAGCATTCCTTCCTTTGAATTCTGGCTACTTTAAGAAGTATTTTTCTCATTGTGCTATTTTAAACTTTTCCTTTTTGTGTGTATTTCTCAGAGAAATGGAAGGCGAGCTTGAGGTTGTTTGGCAGTCTACCTCCAAGGAAAACCAAAGAATCCGAGAGTTGCTGCAGGCCGCGCTGCAGAGGCCCGGTGTGTGGGACGGCCCTGGGGAGGTGTGCTGGGCGGCCGCAGCTCCGTCGACTGCGACATGAAGCCACCTCCCGCCTCCCGCCGCCGCCACAGCCCGCGCCGTGACTGGGGCCCTGGCCCAGAGCTCTGCCTTCCCCGGGACTGGGAGGCACAGGGGAAGGGCCCACTCCCACTTCCCGCTGCAGCGTTTCTCCTCATCAGGGCAAGGTAGAAATAAATTGTCGCAGAAATTTAATCCATTTTTTTTACATTTTGCTTTATTTGACTCATACAGTGCTGAGCTGTATTTTTGCCTACTGGCTGCCTCGCCACAGAGCCAGGCCCTGTGAGACCCATTGCTCAGGGTGCCAAGGGACCCGTGGAGCTGGCCTGGCTCTGGGCATCTAGATCTGCAGCCGGGAGAGTGCTGGAGGGAGCAGGCGGTGGGACGGAGCGCTCACGCGGCAGGGTAGGTGCGTGAGGTCAGCTGGACACGTCCAGTGCTGAGCTGACCCTGTCATTCGCTCTGGGTGCCGTTTTGGCATGTGGTAAAAGGTAGGTGCTAGCATTCACACCCCAGTTAGTTACACAAACTCTGTTCTGCCCCGTCTTCCTGCCCTTCTTTATCCTCCTGGAAAGGCAACTTTTCTGGGGCCACCTAGCACCAAGGTGGGGTCCCTGCCCCAGTCCCACCACCGAGAAGGATGCCAGGGGCCGGGGTTCTGCTCCTCTCTGCCACCTCCTCAGGCAGGTGACCCCAGCCTCTCAGGACCATCCCCTGGCACTTCCTGGTGCCAGTGCCGGCCACCCAGGGCTGCTTGTCCCTGGCATGCTGGAAGAACGTGAGACATCAGGCTGCACGGGACCCTGAGAGTGGTGTGGAGGGCAGAATCCCGGAACACAGCCTTTTACAGGCCCTTTCCAGTGCAGCCCGGCCTCGGTGCGGGTGCAGGCCAGCCCTGGGCCCTGGTTGGGTGCGAAAGTTACACGCCTGAGCTCTGATTGCTAGTTGGGAGTCGAGATAGAAGATCACAGTTTTACGTTTTATTCAACTTGTTCAACAGTTCAACGATTCTAATTTATTTTCATTTGACCGGAGGTAGGGCAACACACCGGGATTTCAAACTCCCTGTCATCTCCCTCGGAGGTGACCTAGCAAACAGCTTCGATGTTATTTCCAGAGAACCCAGCAGCTCTCTGGCAGCGTGTAAACAGGCTGCAAGGCCCCAGCGCCCCCACGAGTCTCTCACCTTCCAGCCGTCTGCTTGGAGGGTGGCTTGTCGTGGGAACCCTGCTCTTGTCACATACGTAGAGAGCCACTTTCGTCATTCCTGGCTTTGTCCCACCTTCTGTGAGAACATTTTGTTCCCTGGAGAAGTGAACGTTTGTACATTTCTGCCTTAAGTTATTACATGTTACAAACATACTTGGCATGTTTGGTGACCCCTGGACCTCGTCGCAGCCAGGCAGGGGTGGGGTCGTGCAGCACTCGGGCTCTGCCAGCCTCCCGCTAGTTTGCTGTCTGCATGTGGCAGGTGGGCTCAGAGTCCAGGGCGTGAAGGAGGGCCAGGCAGGCAAAGCGGCGAGAGACAAAGCTGCTGAGGGGCCCAGGGACTGAACTTCGATGCTTCGTGGGGGAACTGGAATGCCCTGGGCCTTGCCGGATGGGCAGGGTTTCAGGAGCTGGAGAAGGGCAGAGAGGGCTGTGTGGGCCGGGGCAAGAACTCAGGAGCCGCAGGAGGGGCATTCGGGCTGGAGGTTGGGGTGGGCAGGGAGGCCAGACTGGCCCCGGGAAAGCCCGGACTGCTGTGAGGGTCTCCTGTAGGAGCCTGTAGGGCTTCATCCTGCAGGTGCCAATCGGAGCAGGAGCGGGGCCATTCCTGCTTGGTCCTGGGGAATCTGTATATGGCTCTAGAATGCTCCCGATCAGGCGAACAGTTATAAAACGGGCCCCAGGAGCCCTGCTGCCTTTGGTATTAGTCCGGGGCAATTCCGGCCCGGGTGCAGAGAGGCTGGGGCCCAGCAGGGATGTGGCTGTGAGCTTGAGGGGACAGCAGGCGAGGAGCTGCCCTCAGTTTTCCGGTCGATCTGCACAGAGGGTCGGCGGGGGTGGGTCGAAGTGGCTCCCGCCCCTCAGGCTCCAAGAAGAGGGGGAGAGGCCACCTTTTCCCAGCAGCTTCCGTCTGTGGAGATCCGTGGGGCCTCCCACTCTGAGGAGAGGAGGAAATCCTGAATTGTGTTTCTTTCAGTGCAGTTTATTTAGTCAGCAAATATACACGGAGTGCTTATCTCTGCACGGTGTCGAGAACAGTAGCAGTGACAAAGGCAGACGCAGTTACAGAGCCTGCTAGGTGCTTGGAAGAAAACAGGACTGCAACAATGGCCTCATCACCTTCATGGCTGCTGTGGGAGCTACAGGGTGAACCCCGTGCAGAACATTCAAAAACCTCATTGCACGGAAGCACAGTCATGATCTGATCCTTCAAAACAAAAAATAGTATTTCCCAGGAACAGCCCAGAACGTTCTCTTTTCCTCCCATCTCCCAATGCCTTGCCCCACTCTCTTGCAGGAAAGCTCGCCTGATCAGTCTCTAGGTACCCTGCTAGCTCCTTTATCTCCGAATTCCCAAGTGATGGTTCGTGCTGGGCCGTGCGATCCCAAGCCGCTTCACAAGAAAGTGCGTCCGGACTCTCTGAAGGGCCGATCTCTGCTTGCAGGAAGGCAAGCCAGGGACTCGGAGCCACATAAGAAATGTCATTTCTCTGAGGAGCATGAAAGAGAGTCCGGGGGAGAGAAGTTCATGAAAGGCTGTGGGTAGGAGGTAACATTTCAGTGGGCATTAGATGCGGAGTTGGATTTCCCCAGAAGAAAATTCTGTAAAGAAAGACGAGGCCTCAGTAGGTGCAGATGCACTTAGGGAAGATGAGGTCAGACTGGAGTAGGGTTGGTGTTTCATGCCAGATGACTGGTGCCCTTAAAAAAGACAACTGTGTGAGGACAGAGACACCCAGGGAGGACGCCATGTGACAACAGCCAGGGTTGGAGAGACGTAGCTGTAGGCCAAGGACGACAGCTGGGCGTGCTCGCAACCCCGGAAGCTAGGAAGAGGCCGTGAAGGACCCCCTCCCGGGTTTCAGAGGGAGCACGGCCCATGCCCACACCTGGAGTTTGGACTTCTAGCTTCCAGAACCGAGGCGATAGATCTATTGGTTTTGGAGCCAAAAGAGAAGAAAGCAGGACAAGCCCCCAGATCCGTGGGTTTCCAGAACAAGCAGGGTCTCCGTGTAGTGACAGGAAATCTTCTGTATGTGCTGGAGCACAAGGGGGTGAGAACACACCTTTTCAACTGAATACACTTTAAAAGGTAATCTAACTATAGATCGAGGACTTCTGATGAAAATCTCGCCCCCAAATTGGGATGTGCCGTAAACCTAAAACATACCCCAGATTCTGAAAATTTACTATGAAAGGTGTGAAATATCTCACCAATAATTTTTATACTGGTTATATGTTGAGATAGCATTTTGGATGTGTTGGGTGAAATAAAATCTGTTGTGAAAATTGATAATTTTACCTGTTTTTGTTTCTATTTTTTTAAAAGTGGCCACTGGAAAAATTTAAACTACATATGTGACTCACGGTATACTTCTCTTGGACAGTTGTGTATGGACCTAAATGTGAAAGGCAAAACTAAGCTTCTAGATAGGTCATGACTTTGGGTCAGGGAAGGATTGCTTTCTTTTTTATTTTTTTTTATGATCTTATTTATTTATTTATTTATTTTAGAGAGAGAACGAGGGGGAGGGGCAGAGGGAGAGAGAGAATCTCCAGCTGACTCCCTGCTGAGTATGGAGTCCAACACAGGGCTCCATCTCAAGACCCTGAGATAATGACCTGAGCCAAAACCAAGAGCCCGACACTCGACTGACTGAGCCACCCAGGCGCCCCCACGGAAGGATTTCTTAAAGAAGACCCGGAAAGCTCTAACCACAGAGGAAAGTAACACATTTGACAGCAATACAATTAATGAAGAGCTCTTCACCTGAGTGGAAGGACAAGCCACACGGAGCTGACAGAAGCCTTTGGTCCAGAAAGCATGAAGGAGGCCAGGAAGCAGAAGACAGCCCAAGAGAAAACGGGGAGAGGCGCGCACGGGCATTTCGAAGGAGTAACATAAATAAGTACATGAAGAGGAGACAGGGAAACCCCAAGGACACCCATTGAACCCATCAAAAATATTGAGTGTCTGACAAAGCCAACCAAGCCAGTTTGAGGAACAGTACAAGCATGGTCAGAGCATGCTGTCCATACAGCTCCCCCACGGAAACACCGAAAATGCCCTTGAAGCGGGGGATGGGAGGGCCCCTGGCAGAATGAAACACCCACATCAACAGGAGCCCTTCCCCGGCTGTGGTACCAACACAGTGATGCGCTTGTGTCATGTTCAAAACCATGCAAAGCCGGGCAGTGTGTTCTCTGGGGACAGACGTGTGTGGTTGAAACACCAGAGAAAGTCACAGAAGGAAAACGCAGCTCCCGCAGACTTGGGAGGCACCAGAGCGGCCTTTCCTTGAGCTCAGGAGTCTGTGCCTGGGCATTTACTGTTTTTACAACATAATGGAGACATCAGGTGACCTTTTTTGTATGTGCCCTTAAAGAATGAGTCGGAATTTGCATAGTAAAAGAATTCCAGTAAAGTTTTGGGAAAATGGGACAATAAGACTGCAGATAGAGGGCAAACTGCGGAGCCGCATGGCCACACAGCGCTGGGAGAAGCGGGTGGCGCTGAGGACTCGGGCAGGGAGCCCTGGAGGGTGGTGTCTGTCTCTGGGGAAATGAAAGAGCAGAGTGGATGCTGGGACAGCCCCTTGGCTATGGTCCCAGGAAGGAGGGTGGAGGGGTTCCAGACTCTGGAAGCAGGAGGGGGAACACATGGGGAGGAGGGAGGCTTCCAGAGGCTTGGGGACCACGAAGGCACTTTCACTGGGGACACACAGGGCTGCCCGCCCCACTCAGTCTGCTGTGTGCCTCTCTCCAGTGAAATTGCCCCAGAAGCTGAGCGACCCCCACGCCCCGAGTGGGGCAAGGAGGGAAGCGGGCAAGGGCGTGAATAACACAGGCCACGGGGGGCAGTGGACAGCCAGTGAAACCCCTGCCCCTGGTATTGCCCTGCTCAGATGCAGCCACTTCCCCCTCACCAAGTCCTGGATGACACCACAGCCCCGGCCAGGAAGGCAGCTCCGCGTTCAGTCCGG